TAAGAGTTTAAGAATCTGAATTGATTACATCTTTTTGATTCATTCATATTAATTCAATCATTTTAAACCTTGTTAGATTGTTGTTTTGTTTTAACCACGAGTTAAATAGAGCATATTGTTAAGTGAAAATTTTATTAGGTGATAAGAGATTTTTCTATGGGAAAAATTAAATATTGAATATAGCACCCCATGATGCTGCCTTAGAGTAAGTTGCTTTTACCAACGGTTATAAATTTTATTTATTTAAAGTCGGATGATGGGTCACTTTGTATAATTTGTGTCTTTATTTTAAAATTTTAATGAATAATAATGAAATAATATAAATTTTCCATCAACCCCCATTTCAATTACTTATCCTTTATTATTATCCCTTATTATATAATTAATTAACTATTTATTAAAATTTAAAAATAAATTATATCGTCCTTGAATAAAAAATTAAAATTGTTTTCATTTTTCATTTTTACGATCACTATACATAAATATATCTCGAACTCGGTTACATATGGTTAATGGTATATTAATATCTATGTACATGATTAAAAATAAATCCTTTATAGACAAGTCTCTATTATTTTTAAAATTATCCTCTAAAAACATCCGTACCAGAATGGACAAACTCGGTGGAAATCACGTGTTTTATTTACAAGTTGCTTGAATTTTGGAGTTCCAAGCATATCATGTTTGAACCTTGCTGTGTTGATGGTGGAACCGGATTGCATAGCTTATCATATAAACTATTGAGCGATTTTTGAAAAATTTTTCGCATTTCCAGAAGTATTTCTATTTCATAAACAAAGGGTGACATCTCTTTTATTGATGCCGGAACTGAAATCTGAGCGATACGAACCATAAAATATGTTCATTTAATAAGATCTAACGTAAAAAATTGATTGTATGATCAATATAATGAAATGTCAAAAGTGATTAAAAAGGAATTTCGTGGATAAAAAATACATTATACTGATTTACTTACCAACACATTGAAAACCTGCATCATTGTCTATTGCAAAATCCAAGCAATCTTTCATGAGCACGCCAATGCGAATAAGATCATTGCAATTTTTGTACACATTGTTTCTTTGTGACAACGGACTAACCTCGCCCATGAATATAACGGCTTCTGTCTAAAGTTGAAGGATAATCGAGACAACAAAATCTGGTTGCTTGTATCAACCTTTGAATTTTCTTGATTTGCTTTCATCGAGAGCTGTATTGGGCCATTCGACAATATGGTTATCTGGATGATGGAAGGTTCCCTTCATGATGTAATCTAAATAATTTGTGATTAGCGTAATTTCGCTAGGTTCACTCTTGATCTTTTCACTAGGTAATGTTTCTGGACCTTTCAAAATTACACAACCAAAGTTCTCCTCAAATTTTGATTACTTGCAATTTCTGAAAACTGATTGGGGTGTGAGATGCCCTAATTAAATCAAAATTAGGTGATGTAACATAATGCCGATCAATAACAAACTTTTTTTT